AAGTAAGGTCCCCCCCGACAGTCTAAGCCTATAGCAGCAAAACTAGGGGCTGAATCTAATCAGCCCTAACTATAAGCTTTACCAAAAAGGAAGGTCTTAAGCACACTCTTATAAACAGATAGGGTGTCTGCCGCCCGAACACAAACTGGAAGCTGATTCCACAAAAGTGGAGCTTGATAAGAAAAGGCTCTGGCTGCCAGAGCCTTTTCTTATCAAGCTCCACTTTTGTGGAATCAGCTTCCAGTTTGTGTTCGGGCGGCAGACACCCTATCTGTTTATAAGAGTGTGCTTAAGNCTAGATGTAATCTACAATTAAGAGGATATTACTTAATCTAAATTGTGTTTGTTTATATTAAAGGTGAGGTAGGTAAGTTTGAGAAACCGGCTCGAGATACACTTTTTGTTATATTCCATGGAATGCTCTTAACATCCCGATAGCAATGAATATCTTAAGTGCTTTGACAAAAAATCTATATGAAAATGTCATCTGTGGAAGCCGTAGTACTGTAACAAGCACGACCAATCATTTTTGATGGCCTACCTGCCTGTCAGCCTTCCATCTGTGCACAAACCTATCTCGTGCCCTCATTGGTCATGTGCGCGTTCGTGTGTGTTGGAGGAGGGGCTCTGTAAGGAAGTAGAAGTTTTTTTCCGGCTGTGTATTTTCAAATTCTAGAGCACTCGAGTCTCGAGCTGGTTTCTCCAAAATTACCTACCCCACCTTTAACCTGCCATGATGTTAGTCAGTATAGCGTTTTGTCTCGTCTTCGTCCCTGCTGTGATTAAAGTTGCATCTTTTATCTCTGCAGGGGGAGATGTGTCCGCAGAAGTAAGAGGTAGCCCTCGTCCAAACCGCTCCAGTCGTCCTCTCTCTGCCGTGTTCCAAAACATCCATCCTCCAAACATCTGGAGACATCGGAAAGGCACCATGTCCATTACCCAGGTATGCCCGCAACATTAAGGGGTACTGTTCATGGCACAGTGCAGATTACTGAGTAGTTGATGATGTGGATGACAGCCATGTTGTATGAGGAACATTTATATTTCCCCTTTTCCCCTCGTTGTGTGTAGGTGACAGTGACAGAGGAAGGGTCCATCAGTGGCGCTCTGCAGCGCAGCAAGAAAACCAAGAGGAACTGGAAGAAACTTTGGTTCCTCCTGAGAGACAAGGTGCTTTACACCTACCGAGTCCAAGAGGTGAGGGGAAAAATGCAGTCCCCTTTAACCTGAACAGCACAAATTAACATTATAAGAATACTTCACCCAAAAATTTTTACATTTGTATTACAATTACCGACCCCAAGTTACCTTGAACTCTTGAAGAAAACGTTTTTATTTTCGCCTCCAAGGTGAAGAAAAAATCAATAACCTGAAAGAGTCTTGATGAATTGAAGTAGGCATTTAACAAGGGCAAAACTATATCAAACATTTCTATTTGCAAGGCTCATCTTTATAGTCTTATGCTATCTACTTAACAAAGACAATCATTTTTGCTAAAAATGTTTCTATTTAAAACTATTTTGACTCACACAGATGAGTAGCTCACATATGAGGGTGTGAGTCTATGGGGCGTGTTTTAAGTAGTAAGCTTTGAGCTAAAATGCATATTTAGGGGTGTATTGAGCATAAGACTATACAAATGAGACTTGAATTATACTCTACAAGTTACAGTATGTTAGGGGTTTGTTAGCGGACACTTTGATATAGTTTTGCTGTTGTTAAATAGAACCTTCTTTACTTTAATGCATCAAAACTTATTTCATTTTTTGCTCAATGTTGAGGCATGCATAAAAACAAAGTTCGCTTTAAGGAATTATTTTAAACAGACTTCACTCAGTGAGGTCAAAGGGTCATCAGAATGCCCACAGTAACATCGCTGTACAGTCATTTATAATCCTTTTCTATTCATCTGATGAATTGTCTGTCTGCAGGAGAAAGTAGCATCCGAGAGTTTACCTCTGCTGGGATTCACAGTGAAGCTACCTGAGAAGCAGTGGGGAGAGGAGGAGGCCAACGTCTTCCAGCTTTACCACAAAAACACCTTGTATTACTCCTTTAGAGCTGAGGATACCTACACAGCCGAGAGGTGAGAAGAAGGTCTTCTAGCTATTTTCTAAATCTTTAAAGATTGACAATTTGAATATATTAGTCTGACGAATCACTGTGTTACTGATGATAATGCTCCGCTCATGTTCCTATTTCACATAACTTGGTGAGTCATAAATTGTTTTATTGGGCCAGAATTGGATAGCAGCAATGTGTGGAGTTTATAAAAAATCTAAAGATAGTACTCCTCTAGGACAAAATACAATCATTTTTCAAATCCAGCAGCACGCTTTAAAATTAGCTCAGTTAATAAAGTAGCTATATGTCATGCTGACAGGCACAGAGTTGGGAGTGTCTTTGTGAAGCAGACTGAAAATACTCTTTAACAAATACTGCAGTTCATGCTGTTTCTCTTCTAATGTTGAATCCTCTCCTCATACAGGTGGGTAAATGCCATGGAGGAAGCCACCGTTTTATAGTATCAGCCACTTCAGGTGGGTTGCCAGATATGGAAGTCCTCCACCTTTCTTCTGCTACAGACAGACTGTGAAACCAAAACGAGACGATTTGGAGTCATAAAAAAGACATTTGATTATGTCTGCAATATGTTACATGTCTGGCTGGACTGAAAAAAAGAAGACATGGTGTTCTTTGAAAGAGGACACGATTACCTACTTTGCCCCCCTCCAGTGTCCCTGCCTGCTGTTACAGCAGGTGTGAGCCACGAGAGGCATTGGCCCAGATACCTGCCAGTGTGGAACGTTACATCGATGTGGTCTGTATTTCCCCCAGCGGCTCATCAGAGACATTCCTTCAAATCATGGGGAACATAATAGATTTTTGGAAAATAAATATATTCTATGATTTCAACACTTGCCCAGATGTGGAATCCCATAAACTTCAGTGAAAAGGTATTTATGCTAGCTAAGTTAGGCCTTCATTTCAACACATGTTTTTCCACTGGATACATAGAGTATGGATGTGGCTTTGCGCTGCACTGTATTGTTGGAGATGGTCCTTCCATTTATGCTTTTTTGCACAAAAAATGATTGAATCAGTAAAAGAAATACGAGTATACTCCATCATGGAGGCCAAAAGCTTCAGCTACTGTACTTAATTTACCCTACACACTATATTCAATATTGTCAATTATGTCTTTATTGTTTAAATACCTAGTACAGTTAGAATGTACATTCTTATTTGTATTAAGACTCAATACAGATGTTTTTCCCCCTGGACTGAACCATGGATCCCTGATTTAACTGATCTACATAATCAGCGTCTTGGACTTCGTACTGTAACTGGTGATTTATTCAGCTTGAGTTTCTAACACTATTATTTTTAAGCAAAGTAAAGGAGGCTTTACCGGTGGAAACAGTCTGTGTCTGTTTTTTCTCTCGATACTCCTCATGTCCTCCAGATGGCAGGTGGACTAAACATTAAAGTACAACAGGCTGGCATTGACTTCCTGTCACTGTGTCCTTGTTCATGAGCGAAGTACATACATTGAAAATGGAAACATTAGCTGCCCCCATTTGAGTCTGCACTGATACAGTATGTAGTAAATGTGTGTCCTGATCTGATGAAACTGCCAGTGAGAGATCATTTCAGACAACATGTTGAGCTGCTCAGGGACACACTGTGTAGTCCGGTGTGCTGTGCGGCCAAAGAAGGGCTTGCTCTGCTTCTCTTCTCCCCCCGAGGCTGCCTGACCCAGAATGATGTTAGGCAGAAAGTTTGCTTTCTGGGGCTCATGAAAAGTTGCAGACACCTCGTTCTATTTAGAGGACAGATCATTTATCACTCTGCTCTCCCTCCCCTAGCCCCAATTTCCCCTTCTCTCTACTCAGTAGCTCAACTATTTTTCAAAAATTCTTTTATTTGTTGCTCTTGGTTAAAACTCAATGCACACATTCACAAAAAATCCTTTCTGATGACAGTTTTTTTAAATGTCCTTATTTCTCTACCCTTCCTGCACTTTTTCCTTCCTTAATCGTTCTGTTGTAATTCACCCTCTTAATTTGTTGTTGTTTTGTGCTCAGAGCAAAATGCACGATCTTAATACACTAAAGAGGGCATTCATGTGTTAATGTTCACCATCTATGATCATGATTTCAATCAGCAAGTAGCAGGAAAATTGTGACTTCAGCAGGGTGAAGAGTAAATACTAAACTACAGTCCAGTTGAAAAACACTTTTCAGAGGGGCAGCAACAGTGTCATAACCCAAGCTTACTTCCATATAGCTGCAGGCAGGAGCAATGCAGAGAGAAGCAAATAATCAATGAGACACACAGCCTACTCAATAGGTCGGATGCATTCAGCTCTGTTATATATGTGCTCAACCTCAGGAGTCATTAAGAGCCGATGTGAAAGTAACTGAAATGAACTTCCTCATCTATGGTTTTTATCACACATGACGCCCTGTCAGTTGAGTCATGTGGACTGCTTTTAGAGACAAACTTTGTGGCCATTTACAGTTTTAGTCTGAGAAGGGATGCAATATTTGTGTTGATATTGTGAGTAACAACAGGCTGCCTTCTCATCTTTCACAGTGTTGTGTGGGTGGAAGCTCCTCAGGGGTTAAGGAAAGACTTTATTATGCAACAGCTTGAGATTAAAATAAAAAGACAGATACATAGCACATAAGGGAAAAAAGCTGTGTCCACTTGACATTGACTTGACATTTCTGGGACTGAAACTCATATTGTTTCTTTCTGCGCCCTTAAGAGATGAGGAGAGGTAGAGAAAAAAATGTGTAGAGGAAGGACAAATAGAGGGACACTCTCTTATGTCCCACTTTGCAAACTCTTTGCAGCCTACACTGCCAAGTCAATGTTACACCTATTCCACCTCCATTGAAGCTTTAAATAGCCCACCCTCTCCCAACAGGATAAACTGAGAAAAAACACAGCCTTCAGCACACTGAGCATTTATTATCCCTGCTGTCTGAACATGGAGTCGCATCGTCTTTTCCATTCTCTTGTGACCAATCTGTCATAAGAAGAGAGAGAAGTTTAAACACGTGTCAGCAGGACTAGCAGCTGTTACTGAGGGAGGAACAATCTGTCGGGAGAATATGAGCTAGGACAGAGTTAGTCAGAGAGCTGTATACAATGTTAGGGCATTTCGTTCTCAATGTAAAGCAGTAGCTGCTTAGCTTAACTTGGCATAAAGACCATAAATAGTGCACTGACTGGTAGTGAAAATGAGTATTGTGCTTATATGGCAATGAGGATTGTAGAGAATGCCAGGGAATAAACTCCAGTGGTCTGCTGCGAAAGCTCGAAACAGAATCAATTTATGGAGAAACACAGTCTGACATCACGTGGCGGCCAATGAGTTAATAGGCAATCCAAAGATGTACAACTCTGCCATGATGCTTGCCATTAAATAGGCTATGTAACTGTTTATAACTTTTTTTGTTTGAAAAACACCATTGGCATGCCTCTGAGCATTACAAGGGGACACTTTTGATCACATTGCCAGGCCTGATGTGTAATTATTTTTTTCATAATAATTACTCAACAATGACTTATCCATAATGACCTATCCACTTTGTCTGCCCTTTCAATAAATGAAGCTTCAATACTTAAATCAATGGTTATCTGTGTGATTATAGCTGCAGTCTCCCTCTGACTCAAACGCTCTGTTTTAACGTCTGTGTCTCTAAGCCTCTCTCCCAAAAAACACAGTCTGCTCTGATTGGCTTGCAGTGCACCTGTGCAAAGCTTCTCATTAGGCCAAATCTAAATGAAATATGGAATCACATTTTCTGACATAAAATAATGAGTCGCTTCAGCTGATTCAAAAATGCTGCAGCACGTGTACTAACCAGAGTTAGGAAAAGGGACCACATTACTCCTGTTCTGGCTGCCTTACACTGGCCCCATAGAACACAGGATGGAATTTAAAATTCTTCTTCTCGCCTACAAAGCCCTTAATGGGTAGGCGCCATCTTACCTTAAAGAACTCATTATACCCTACCAGTGGCGTGCACAGACATTTATAGGGGCAGGTGCTCAAGAGAAAAAAAAAG